ATACTGTGTATTGTGACGCGTCGCTTATTGGTCTCGGCGTAATGCTGATGCAAGATGGTAGGGTGATTGCCTATGCGTCCAAACAGTTAAAGGTACAAGAGAAGAATTATCCAGTCCACGATCTTGAGTTAGCAGCTATTGTTCATGTCTTGAAAATTTGGCGGCATTTCTTGTACGATGTCCAGTGTGAGGTATATACCGATCATCGACATCTACAATATTTGTTTAAACAGAAGGATCTTAACTTGCGGCATCGAAGGTGGTTAGAGTTGCTTAAGGATTATGATATCACCATTCTCTATCATCCCGGAAAGGCCAATGTGGTGGCCGATGCCTTGAGTCGTAAGGCGGAGAGTTTGGGCAGCTTTGCATACTTACCAGTAGCAGAGATGCCTTTAGCCTTGGATGTTCAGGCTTTGGCTAATCAGTTTGTTAGATTGGATGTTTTCGAACCGAATCGAGTTTTGTCCTGTGTGGTTTCTCGGTCTTCTTTATATGATTGCATCAGAGAGCGCCAGTATGATGACCCACATCTGCTTGTCCTTAATGACACGGTTCAGCACGGTGATGCCAAGGAAGTCACTATTGGAGATGACGGTGTATTATGGATGCATGGCAAGCTATGTGTGCCTAATGTAGATGGTTTGCGTGAGCTGATTCTCCAGGAAGCTCACAGTTCGTAGTACACTATTCATCTAGGCACCGCGAAGATGTATCAAGATTTAAGGCAGCACTATTGGTGGAGGCAAATGAAGAAAGATATAGTTGGGTTTGTAGCTCGGTGTCTAAATTGTCAACAGGTAAAGTATGAACATCAGAGGCCAGGAGGATTGCTTAAGAGACTTGAAATTCCGGAATGGAAGTGGGAGTGTATTACCATGGACTTCATAGTTGGGCTCCCACGGACTTTGAGAAAGTTTGATGTTGTTTTGGTGATAGTAGATCAGTTGACCAAATCTGCGCATTTTATTTCAGTTGGTACTAATTATTCTTATGAGCAATTGGCTGGGATTTATATTCGCGAGATTGTTCGCCTACACGGTGTGCCGGTGTCCATTATTTCAGATCTGGGTACGCAGTTTACCTCATAATTTTGGAGGGCAGTGTAGCGAGAATTAGGCACACGGGTTCAGTTGAGTACAATATTTCACCCTCAGATGGATGGACAGTCTGAGCGCACTATTTAGATATTGAAGGATATGCTACGCGCTTGTGTCATCGATTTTGGGGGTTCTTGGGGATCAATTTCTGCCACTCGCGGAGTTTGCTTACAATAATAGCTACCAGTCAAGCATTCAGATGGCTCCGTATGAAGCTTTATATGGGAGACGGTGTCGGTCTCCGGTGGGTTGGTTTGAGTCGGGTGAGGTTAGCATATTGGGTACTGACTTGGTTCAGGATGCTTTAGAGAAGGTCAAAGTAATTCAGGAACGGCTTCGCACATCACAGTCTAGACAGAAGAGTTATGCCGACAGGAAGGTTCGTGATGTTATTCACATGGTTGGGGAGAAGGTTCTGCTCAAGATTTCACCTATGAAGGGTGTGTTGTGGTTTGGGAAGAAAGTCAAGTTGAGCCCTCGGTATATTGGGCTTTTTGAGATACTTAAGAAAATTGGGGAAGTGGCTTATGAACTTGCTTTGCCACCTAGTCTATCAGGTGTTCATCCAGTGTTCCATGTATCCATGCTCCGAAAGTATTTCGGGGATCCGTCTCACATTCTGGATTTCAGTAAAGTACAACTAGATGGTAATTTGACTTATGATGTGGAGCCGGTGGCTATTTTAGACCGGCACGTTCGAAAGCTGAGGTCAAAGAATATAGCATCAGTAAAGGTGCAGTGGAAAGGCCAGCCAGTCGGAGAAGCTACTTGGGAGATTGATCAGAAGATGCGGAACAAATATCCACACTTATTTGAGACTCCAGGTATTATTCTAAACCCGTTCGAGGACGAACGTTTGTTTAAGAGGGGGAGAATGTAATGACCCGATCGGTCGTTTTGAATATTATAATCCCGTTCCCCCATTTACAGCTCAATTTATGTCTTGCAATTAATTTATGACTTATCGGGTTAGTTGGTTCGGGTTCGGAAAGAATTCAGAATGAAATGAAACACTTAGTTTCATAATTGAAAATTTAAGTTAGAAAAGTGGACCGGATATGGACCTATATGTAAACGACCTCAGATTTGAATTTTGATGATTCCAATAGCTCCGTATGGTGATTTTGGACTTAGGAGCGTGTTCGAAAAAATATTTGGAGGTCCGTAGAGGAATTAGGCTTGAAATGCCGAAAATTGAATTTTTGGGAAGTTTGACCGGAGGTTGACTTTTTGATATCGGGGTCGAAATCCGATTCTGAAAATTTTAATTGGTCTGTTATATCATTTATGATTTGTGTGCAAAATTTGAGGTCAATTGGACGTGATTTGATAGGTTTCGGCGTTGTTTGTAGAAATAGAAAGTTTCAAAGTTCATTAGGCTTGAATCTATGTGTGATTCGTGTTTTTAGTGTTGTTGGATGTGATTTGAAGACTCGACTAAGTTCGTATGATGTTTTAGGACTTGTTGGTATATTTGGTTGAGGTCTCGAGGGCCTCGGGTGAGTTTCAGATGGTTAACGGATCAAAAATTGAACTACAATAACTGCTGTAATTTCCTTGTGCCAGATTCGATCCCAGAAATAGAGCCCAGATGCGAGCCCAGATTCGAGCCCAGAATCAAGCCACGATCGAGCCCAGGGTCGAGGGCCACAATCGAAGGCAGGATCGAAGACATGATCGAGGGCCAGGGTCGAGGGCCATGATCGAGGGCCAGGATCGAGGCCCAGGATTGAGACATAGGATCGAGGACCTCGATCGAAGGCCAAGATCGAGGCAAAACCGGGGTAGTCTGGGCAGATTTATAAAGCAGGGACTTCGTCCCATTCGCCATTTTTGAAAAATTGGAGCTTGATGAGAGGCGATTTTTGATAGATTTTCAAGAAAAACTTGAGGTAAGTCCCTTGCGATCATTTTTACTCCATAATATTGAATTATCATTGAATAATGATTTTGAGGTGTAAATCGGAGATTGGAACTTAGAAATTTGAAAATAAGATTTGTAGATTTGAGGGTTGAGTTGAGGTCGGATTTTGGTAAAATTGGTATGGTTAGACTCATTATTGAATGGGCTTCCGGATTTTATAATTTTTGTCGGGTTCCGAGACGTGTGCCCCACAGGAGATTTTTGAGCTAAAATTCGGATTTTTATGGAAAATTAGCATTTTCTTATGGAATTAATTCCAATGAATTTTATTGACTGAAACGAATTATTTATGGCTAGATTCGAGGCGTTTGGAGGCCAATTCACGAGGATAGGACATTGCAGAATAAGAATTTCACGGCTTGAGGTAAGTAACAGTTATAAATCTAGTCTTGAGGGTATGAAACCCCGGAATTTTGTGTCATATGATTATTTTGGAGGTGACACACATGCTAGGTGACGGGCATGTGGGCGTGCACCGAGGGGATTGTGACTTGGTCCATCCCGTGGAAACTGTATAGTTGAATAATTTATTGTTAGCTATATGTTCTCTATGTGTTGAAGAAATCTGACTCTAAATCATGTTAGAAATTATGCTTAGGCTATGTTATAGTACTGTTGGGACCCGCAGAGGTCATGTACTTGTTGAATTATTTGCTAATTGTTGTCTTGTGCTCAGTCATAATTTTTATTGTGTATTATACCTCAGTCTTTCTTGATATTTGTTGATACACTATGTTATCTTTTTTTAGGCTGATCTTTGTGATTTCTGAGAGCCCGAGAGACTAGAGAGGTTGAGGACTGAGTAAGGCCGAGGGCCTGTCGGTGAGGTAAGGATATTATGGCACGTGAGTTGTCCGTGCAGGATATTATAGCACGTGAGTTGTCCGTGCAACACGTGAGTTGTCCATACAGATTATGGCGCTTGGGCTGTAGGAGCCCCTCCGGAGTTTGTACACACCCCTAGTGAGCGCGGGTACCCATTAAGTATGAGTGGTGAGGCCTCAAAGCCGAGTGGTTAAGTTGTTGTAATGAGTTGAGTGATTATTGTCTGAGAGGTTGTACTTGTTTTACATTTGTTGTTGCACTTGGTTGCTAGCTGTCATTATTGTGACATCTCTGAAAGATTTTATATCCGGATTACATAAAATTGAACTGTATAAAATTGATTTGACTTAAACTGTCGGATTTGAAAGCATGTTTATTCTTTACTGGAATTACTGAAAGTGAACTATAACTGTGTAGCTCGTCATTATCTTCAGTTCCTTAGTTATTATTGTTACTTGATGAGTTGGTTGTACTCATACTACACCCTGCACTTCGTGTGCAGATCCAGGTGTTCCCGGATATAGCGGGTGCTGATCATTTCACGTAGTTGATTTTCAGGAGATTTTGAGGTAGCTGCCGTGTTCCGCAGACCTTATCTCTCCTTCTCTATCTCCTTGTTTACTGTATTTTGTCTCAAACTATTATAGACCGTATTTTCCAAACTTGTATTTATATTAGATGCTCATGTACTTAGTGACACCAGATTTTGGGGAGTGTTCATGTTAGTATTTGTGAGATTTTGTATTGTATTAAATTATTATATCTTCAAACTTAAGAGAAATTATGGTTTATCGAGATTATCGGCTTGCCTAGTATTGAGATAAACGCCATCATGACATGTTGAGATTTTGGGTCGTGACATGATCTCATCGATTTTAATTATTTTTTTCAACTCAAATACATAGATTATAAGATAACGATATCTTAGAATATTTTTTTTAATGTACATTGTGTGTCGTTTTTAAAATATTATTATTACTAACAAACTGATATGATATTCGAATTTGAATTTAAATGCAATTTGAGTAGTTTGCATTGAGGTTAAGCCAAATATGGTGTCGAAAAAAAATTACTTGGCAATTTTAAGATAATATATGCAATGTTATAACAATCAACTAATTTAATATTTAATGAAAGAGAGAGCAGAAAGAAGCAGGTAATAGCAATAATTGGAGCTGGAAAATGCGGGCTCTTAACCTGCAAGTACGGCCTTTCAAAAGGTTTTGATCCTATTGTATTTGAGTCAGAGAATAGCATTGGAGATGTGTGGAGTGTGGACTAAGACAATTGGGAGTACCAAGCTGCAAACACCAAAACCTCTTTACCAGTTCTCTGATTTTCCATGGCTTGATTCTGTAACCGATGTGTTCTCTGACCAACGCACCGTTTTAGAGTACATTGAATCGTACGCTCGTCACTTTGATTTGCTCCGTCACATTCAATTCAATAGCAAAGTGTTGAGCCTCAGCTATGAATCTGGTGGCGACTCGGACGGAGAATGGAATTTGTGGGGCGGCACCGGCGAGCCTTTTAGCACTAAAGGGAAATGGAACGTCAGTGTACAGGACACTCGAACCCTCTCCACACAGGTAATTAACCACCCAGATTACAGCAAATCCATAAAAAGAAATTGCTAAGCCACTGCTTTATTATTTCTTTATCGCTTCCAAAATGTTCCCATTGGCATTCGAGATTCGTGTAGGAGTCAGGCGTCCAATGATAAGCATTTTTAACGTTTAGTAACTTAGATAAGCATATATAAAAACTCCTCAAATCTCTTCTGTTTGGTTTGTTTGGCCTTTTCTTTTCCCTTTCTAGCTAGTTTGCTTTTCTTTTTCCATTCACATCTGTGCGCGGCAGTGTTTGATTAACAAATATAGTAACAGCAAGGAAATAAAATGTTAAAGTGTTAATCTTCTTGCAATTCTTTGCCTGTTCAAAAGTTAAATATTTTAATTTGAGTTGAGATTTAATTGTTTAGTTCAATATAATGATTATTTTTCGTTTGACATGATCAGAATTAATCAGTGAAAAGACTAAATCTTTTGTGATAAACAGAGCAGAAGTTTTTAGATTCCATAAGATGTTACTATATATATAAGTGCTCAAGGTATGTTGAAAACAAAACATTCATATTACAAAGTCTTAATTACCAATTTTACAATTAAATGAAGGATAATCACATGCATCATCATTTCTCATGGTTGAAAATTGAAATTACGTGCAGGTATACCAAGCTGATTTTGTAGTAGTTTGCGTGGGAAGGTTCAGTCAAGTTCCAAACATCCCTAAATTCCTATCAATGAAGTGTTCATTGGTTGCGGCATCAGAAAGCAGGTTCCAATTCTCATCAAACATGGCTCCAAAGAATGAATTCTTGCCCGCACTGCCTAATGTTGTGGCCGTAGTTTCAAAGATTCTGCCACCAACATTGAGTTTCACCCTGTCTTTCTGGCTTTCCATTATTCAAAAATGTTGTTTTACTCTGAATTTCAAACCAATACTGATGTAAGAGATATGTTTAGAAACAATTTCTGGCTCAATATCAGTCACAACTAACATCAACATTATTATACATGTGACTTATACTAATGTAATTTCTTCAAGTTGATAGTAGATATAAAGAAACAACTGATGTAACCAATTGTACAACTATATGGTCAAAACCTCAAAAATAAATTTGCTATCTATGATCCTTTTGAGTTTCTTTTGGCCTTTTTCATGATTGGCTAAAGTATCTCCTTTTTACCAATATGTTGTACAATATTAGTTGCAGTATGAAACTATGAATAAAAAGGGCAGCTCAGTGCACAAGGCATTATATAGACAACTTATCCTAATGCAGATATTAGTTGTTACTTCTACAGCTCGAACCCGTGACCTATAATTGCAGTATGCATATTGATCCTAAAATCAGTTCTTTAAAGTTACCTATTTAATTCTCTTCTCTCGCAATTGTTTTTTCGGATATTGGAACGTTAAGAAGCTTGAAAATTGAGCAAAAGATGTGAGTTTAGGCATGAAGAAAGCATAATAAAGCAAACACAAAAAGAAGAGCATATAAATATTATGGGATGACAAAATAGTACAAAAAATACATACCGGACTAAGAAGTATTCAAGAAACAGGAATAGCAATCTGGATTTCGATTCACGACTATTGAACACTTTTGCTCTAATTATATATTGGTGATACCATTCTAATAATTTTTGCTTTAAGTATTGGAGCTACTAATAATTGTTGAGTTTATCCTATTATGAAGTCTCCTAATCCAAGTATATCACCTGCTTTAGAGCACTGTAATATATATCGCTTTTAAGGATAAAAACTTACCCGAACTGTAATTATATATATTTTTTCATTTTAGATCAAACGTTAGAGGTATTATTATTACTAATTAATAGTCTAAATTTAAGCTAAGGAAAAACAAATTCTTTTTTTATGGGGCGCATTTTGCCTTCTAGCAATCAAATCAATAAGGATATTAAGTAGAGATAAAAATTGTACGGGGCGCCCTATTTGGTCACCCCCATTTAACCTATACCCGTATTTTTAAAATTATTTAAGTTATACCCTAATTTTAATCTTCTTCCTCCTGGCCTATGCGCTCCTTTCTTCCTCCTCTTCTTGTCTATCAAATTAACTTTTCAACTACTACTTTAATATATTCACTAATAAAATGTGAAGTCAAATTAACAACTTAACCTATATTTAATCAAATATTGTCATAAAATAACAAAACTGAGTATTGTTATTGTTCTCTATTTGAATTCAGAAACCCTGTCAACAGAAGGTAAAACGTGGGCTTCTGCAAATTTTACAATCCTTTATTTTGCAAGCTCGAGATACAAATCCAAATGCATCGAGAGCGCAACAGATACTTTCTAGTTCATCTTGTTATGTGTTTATCTCATACTGAATATACAGAAGTTCCAAATCCAATATGAAGAACATGAAGAATTTCCCATGAGGTAAAGCCCGATGTGATGCCAAACCAGCTCTTAGTTACACTGAAAAGTTAATTCGTCTTGAAGTTTGCACTACAAATTGAAGAACTTCACACTAATTTGTCTGAAGTTTGCACTATGAAGTGAGAAAAAACTGAAATTTGCCCTTGCACTATGAACTACAGTTCCTGAAGTTTGCACTACAATTTGAAGAACTTCAGACTAATTTGTCTGAAGTTTGCACTATGAAGTGAGGGGAAACTAAAGTTTGCCCTTGCACTATGAACTACAGTTCCTGAAGTTTGCACTATGAAGTGAGGGGAAACTAAAGTTTGCCCTTGCACTATGAACTGAAGTTCCTAAAGTTTGCACTACAAATTGAAGAACTTCAGACTAATTTGTCTGAAGTTTGCACTATAAAGTGAGGGGAAACTGAAGTTTGCCCTTGCACTATGAACTGAAGTTCCTGAAATTTGCACTACAAATTGAAGAACTTCAGATTAATTTGTCTAAAGTTTGCACTATGAAGTGAGGGAAAACTGAAGTTTTTCCTTGCACTATGAACTGAAGTTTGCGTGATTGCTTTTGCAAGTCAGGCAAAACTATCTGAAGTTTTGCTTTGATAAGGCTACACTTCAGACAAAAAATAACTTCAGACATAAATTTTTGTTACTTCAGGCCCGTATGCCTGAAGTTACCCGAAAAGTGGGTATGCTTGTAATTATTTTTGCAAAGCGGGTATAGGTTAAAATGTGACCCAAAAACTGGATATAGATGCAAATCCCCCTAAGTAGAGCAATTGGTTATGCCTTTTCTACCATAATTAGAATGAGGTAAATATTAATTATTTGATTTGAGTTTAAGTTTTATCGGTGATATTGTATAAATTTTTTAAATCGGGTTTTAGTGAACGTAAAATAATAGGCAATTATTCATAATATTTATTTTGCATGTTATTTAAAATTTATAGTATTATATTGTTAAATTCATCATTACAAATAACGGTATATTGTATACTATTTGTCAAAATATAACTAATACTCTCTCCCTTTCAATTTATGTGAACTCATTTGACTGGGCACATAGTTTAAGAAAATATAGAAGACTTTTAAATTTGTGGTGTAAAATGAGGCATATATATTTTGTTTGGCTATAAATCATTGCATAAAGGTAAATTGTTTCCAAATAAGGAAAGTGGTCATTCTTTTTGGCACGGATTAAAAAGAAAATAAGTTCACATAAATTGAAACGGATGGATTAATTGATTTCGCTTTATTTTTATGGTGCAAACAAAAAGCCACCCTACATGGTCGTTTGCGTGTTACTTTACTAATCCATCGGATACCAGTTAGTATCTCGCAATAGCACATATCACGAAAAACTCTACCATCAAGTTTAGAGAGAGAAAAGAATTCACCTAGTAACGATTTTACTCATATTTGATAAATAAATACACTAAATATTTACTGCTAAAACATCTTTGGAGGCACATTTACACCAGAGGGCGAAAAAGTGAAGACAAGCAAGTTTAAAAGCTGATGCATTGGACCATCTCTTCTTCCCTTCAGAGCATTAGCAGCTTTCAACTAAGAAATTAGTAGGCATTGTCAGCATCATAAGAATCTAGTCAAATGATGATTAAAGAAAATAGTTATTAAACTTCAAGTTTTCAGTTTTACAATCAGTATTCTCGATCCACCAACTCGAACAACCTTAAACAACCTCTATGCCTTCTTGAAGGCAGGGTTAAGGTTTGCGTACATACTACCTTACCCAGACCTCACTTGTGGGATTACACTGGTCTTCTGTTGCGTTGTTGTTGTTGTCAACTCGAACAACCTATTAGGAAACGAAAACAAACTATATATGGAAAATCATATAATGGACGTACGGGGGGGTCTCCCATACATCAAAAACATCTTCTTCCCTGTGAAGAACAAAAAGACGATCAACACCAATTGAAAAATCACAAATTGGACCACCAGGACTCCGTTGAAGTTGTGACGTTTCAATCCAGTTAGAACCACAATAAACTGAAATGGTATCGTTCATCGATGAGAGTAATTGCCCCTCGTGAAATGCCAGTTTGGGAAAGCAACTCCCAGTCCTTGACGATGTACACCTTTCTCTCCAGCCTACACTTTTAGTAGTGTCCCTCAAATCAATGAAGCCCAAACACTTTTTTGCATCTACTACACAAATAGAGTTATTCTCCTCTATCACTATAGCATCAGTAATGGATTTCTGGTTCATCTCCTTGGCATTAGACCATGACCAAACCACGGCGTTTTCCCTAAAATCCAACAAGCGGATATCAATACGCGGAAAGGAACTAGCGACAACCATCAAACAGTGGTACCATATAACCATTGCAACCTTCCAGTATATTCGCTGGAGAAATATGGTTGCTTAGCATATTCCAGTGAGAAGAAATTTATATGTTTTCCTGTGACTTGGTCCCAAACAACAATCCCACGCTCAATGCTATTTCTTTTACAACTCGAGAACAACTTGTAATCTGAGCTAAAACTTAGTTCGGTTGCTGAATAATCATTCAATCTGTTTTCATCTGAAACTTGAAATTTACACCTCAACTCCCCTGTGTATGCGTTGAATAACCCTATGGCTCCATTGGCTAACTTTCTATCAGAGCTAGCCACAATATTTTCATAATCAACCCAACAGACGTCATTCACCCGATGGTAATCAAGATTGATTGTAGGTTGCTCGTCTAACATCCAATCGTACACCTTAACCATACTACCAAATTCGAGTGGTAATACCACACAGCAACCACTACTTGGGCTAGCCCGGATAGCACCGTACTTCCCTATTGACCAGCCTTTTATGGACCGTGCAACCCGAAGCTTATTGCCATCAAATAAATCCCATTTAGCAGACCTAACATGATCCAAAATGCCATAATACAGGGCCTCTCGATACAGGAGTCTTTCGTTGATCTTTGGAGGAATATAAAGCTCTCCTGTTCTGAGTAGGTCGAGAAGGACAGCAAAATAATCAGGATTTCTATCACTGAAGTGTTCATTGGTTGCGGCATCAGAATGCAGGTTCCAGTTCTCATCAAACATGGCTCCAAAGAATGAATTCTTGCCCGCACTGCCTAAGGTTGTGGCCGTAGTTTCAAAGATTCTGCCACCAACATTGAGCTTCACCCTGTCTTTCTGGCTTTCCATTATTCAAAAATGTTGTTGTACTCTGAAATTCAAACCAATACTGATGTAAGAGATCTGTTTAGAAACAAATTCTGGCGCTATATCAATCACAATTAACATCAGCATTATTATACATGTGACTTATACTAATGTAGTTTCTTCATGTTGATAGTAGATATATAAAAACAACTAACGTAATTAATCGTATAGCTATATGGTTAAAACCTCAAGAATAAATTTGCTATTTATGATCATTTTGAATTTCTTTTTCATGATTGGCTAAAATATCTCCTTTTTACCAATATGTTGTACAATATTAGTTGCAGTGTGAATAAAAAGGGAAGCTCAGTGCACAAGTTATGCCGCGTTCATGCAGGGTCCGAGGAAGGGCCGCATACAGTCTATTCTAATGCTTTCATGATTGGCTAAAATATCTCCTTTTGTTTTTGTTACCAATATGTTGTACAATATTAGTTGCAGTATGAATAAAAAGGGGAGTTCGGTGCACAAGGCATCCCG